GCCTCCCACCCCGCCAAGTGATTTATTCACTCTTGACAACTGAGATCATCCAGCATTCCGAGCGGGAGAGTTAATGGATGACTTAAGCCTCGCCCAGCGCCGGCCGCAAGCCCTCGGGAGACCAGCAGTGCCTTTGTCTGCAGGAGGCCAGAGAAAAGGCCAGTGGCTTCCCCTCCTTCTACCACCTCATAATCATATTCCGCGGTGGAACATTAAGGGCACAAAGCAGAATTGTAATTAACCTCGCCTGATCTGCTCCCCGCTGGTGTCCTGGAAGCGAGAGAGGGGAGCAAGAGGGGCTGCGGGGCTGCGATGCTGCGATGCTTATCTTGAAATTAAACTTTCCCCTGGTAAAAGCATTTTAAAGCTCTGAGGTTCTGACGGGTAGGATCTGTGCAAGGAGCTCTTTTGTTCTTTTCTCTTTCTCTTCTTTTCTGAAAACTAAACCCGTAGTAGAGATGGTGGCACAAAAGCCCTCCTGGCTGGGATCAAGTCCCAGCCCTAGAGGGTTCCAGGACCTCCCCAAAGCCTCCTGGCCTCTGCCGACCGACGCTCATGTCTCCCAGGTGGTTCTAGGTGGTTTCTCAAATTAGGTCAAGCACTTGCCGCTTGGCATCTCCCTCAGATGGCTTTTCTGGATAGCCTGGTGGGCGCCTGGCATTCCTAGCAGGGGTCCCTGCATCGAGTGCTAAGTGCGGAGGGGCCATCGGCAGCGCTGTCCCTCCTCCCCCGAAACAAGTGCCGCGTGACCGCACTCGCTGGTTCTGCCAGCGTCAGGGCCCGTTGTCTCCTTTCCACAGTCTGGTGACATGGGGACAATAAGGACCCCAACTGCACCGCAGCCCAGAGTCAAGCTGGGGTGATTTACTCGGGGCCATAAAACCAGGCGGTGGCGGAGAAGGTACATTTACTCAGGTCTGTCTATTGTCAGAGACCTGCTCATAACCACTGGCACCCACTGCATCAGCCCCAGCACGTAGGGTCCTCTCCCTAGGGAGTTTGCAGTGGTCCCATTACCTCACAGGCTACAGTGCAAGCACCTGCTTATCCTTTGGGGTGGACCAGTTGTTCTCACACTTGGCTGTGCCTTCTCATCACTGGGAGAGTGCGTTAAAATACAGCTCATGAGGCCCCACCACAGAGCCCCCTGTTCCGGTGGGTTTGGTGGGTGGGCCTGGGGATGTGGATTCCGACCCAGTTCCCAGCTGGCGCTGTTGTGGCCAGCCCAGCGACGACTCTTTGACAGCCACGGGGGTAGACCAATCCTGCTAAGTGGGAAATCTGCCAAATTTAATTACTTCAGTGCCTGCAGAGTAGAGAGAACTCTAGCCTCTAGTGCTCTTTGAATTTTAGAAACTCCTCTCAGTGTAAGGAGAAGGGGTGCCTCAGGAATAAACTTTGTGTTTCTTAAAAAGAGCCCGAAGAAAATACAACAAGGGGGTCGTCTGGGTAGTGGGTACGTGGGTGTTGGGGATTCTCTGTGTTTTTCAGTGTGTTTAACGTTTTTCAAAACCATATTTAATGAAAGGAAGGACTAGGGTTGTAAATTGGACTTCTGGTCCTGAGTCCCAGCTTCCCGGGAAAAGATTTCATACCTGAAGCCTCCTCGCAGCTCACGAGGAGGGAAGTGTTGCCATTTCCCAGCACCGCGCTGTCTAGACATGCTGCACCCGCGAGCACATCTCACACTCAGCCCTGAGGGAGGCTTTGCGAACGGTGCCCCCACTGCAGCCTTGATTTCCTCACTCATTTGCCTGTGGATCATGAGATGCCTGCCCCTCTGCGTCAGTGCCGACAACCCGTGAAGGTGTCCTACTTGGATGGTTTTGTCTACCACCAAGCTGTGTACCGGCAGGTCTTTCAGGTCTTTACTAAACACTGAGGTGCTGGGGAGGGACCCTTGTTTCTCCCTTGAGTGAGACCCTCTTACTGGGTAGCTGCCATCCTCAGACGCCCCCGGGCCCCCCGGTGCCCTCTGCCAGGGATACTGTTTGCTCCTCCGTGCTTCTCTTGAGCTGCTTCATCTCCTTATGAAATTGCACCTGAAGTGTTCCAGCTGCAAGGTGTTGCTTTCTCCCTCCTCTTTCTTTTTCAATACAACTTGAGAAAACATGGCAATGATGACTGATAATTTTATAGTCCTTCCTCCCTGCCCAGCTTTCGCCATCTCTCCCCGAGATTGTTGGCAGTAGCCCCTGGTGTCCTCGGCGCATCTCACCTCGGCACAGCAGACAGAGGGACCCTATTAAATGTAAGGGGGATCCTGTCAGAGGAAAGGACACAAACAACCCTTATAAAACCCTACAGGATCTGGCACCCTGCGCCACCTCACCCCCCCCCGCCCCCCGGCCCCGAATCTCCTTCTCCCCCGCCCCTCACTGCCTCTGACTCAGCCACAGCCTCATTCTTGCTGGCCAAGCTCGCGGCCTTTGCAGTTGCCAAGTCCTCTGCCTGGATCTGTCTTCCTCCAAATACCCACATGGATCCCTTTCTCGCCTCCTTCAGGTCTACTCAAATGTAACTTTATCCTGCAGGCCTTCCCTACAACTCTATTGAGAAGAAGAATCCATTCTCTCTTTTCATTCCCTGTAACTACTTTGTTTTTTCTCCACGGTATACCTCGCTCTCTGATTACTGTGTATTTTACTTGCTTGTCTCCCCTACGGGAGTATGAATTCCACGAAGGCAGAGGCTTTTCCAGGGCCTAGCAGGGCACCCTAGAGCAGGTACTCCAGTAGTTCTTAAAACATTAATGATAGCTGCATTTATTGAGTGCTTCCTGTGTGCTGGGCACTATTCTGACATTTTACCCCATGTAATCCTTACCACAACTTTACAAGGCATGTACTGTTGTTACCTTTATGTTATAGGTGAGGAAATAGGCATAAAGAGGTTGAGTCATGTTTTCTCTACAACTATAGTGTCTAAGACGCTGGGGTCACAGGTAAAGGGGGCACCTCTGCATTAGGGTCTCCAGAGAAATGGAACTCGTGGGTGGGTGGGTGGTGTGGATATGCATGTATGTAAGTGTATGGAGAGGGCCATTGATCTTAAGGAATTGGCTTGTATGTTATGGGGGCAGGCAGGCAGGCTGGGGACCCAAGGAAGTGTTGATGTTGCAGTCTTGAATCTGGAGACTGGCTAGAGGCAGAATTTCTTCTTTAGATCTCAGTCTTTTTTTCACAAGGATTTCAAGCAATTGGGTGAGTCCCACCCGCATTTTGGAGGCTAATCTTTATGGAAAGTCTGCTGGTTTAAACGCATCTGAAGGCAACCTTCACAGCAACGTCTAAGATCGGGGCTTAGCCAAGCCCTGGGCACCATAGCCTCACCCAGCTGATCCATGAAATTAACTGTCACAACTTCTGAAGAGGTGTCGTGTGTTGGTCAGCTGGTCTTGCACACTTCATCTCCAAGGTTTTCCTGCCTGTCTGGTGGGGTGAAGGGAGAGGGGGCAGCCCCAAAGAGGTTCTGGTGTTTCTGTCCTAGTAGGAAGGTGTTCTCTGACTTGAAGACCCTAAGTGCTAAGATGTTCTCTTCTTCATGTGCATGACCAGCTTGATAACATGTCATATACAAGAGTGGCATGTCCTTCAGTCACACCTCGGTTATGCGGAGGTTACATCTGCTGAGTTGGGGGCCTTGTCACACCTATTCTAGTGTAAGCTGAGGAGGAGACGCCTGGGCAGCCAACGGCCCATGGATATCGCCCCTTGCTCCCAGCATAGCATCGCACAGTGAGGATCCTGAGAAGACGGGGCTGTGCAGCGAGTCTAGTTGCACCGATTTCCAGCCTCTTGACCAGACAAGCCATTTAATGTCTCTGAGCCTCAGTTTCCAAATCTGTAATGACAGAGGTAATAATGCCTCTTTTGATGGGAGTTCAGTGTGCCACTGCCATCTTTCCCAAGCCAGTTCCGCAAGGGCTGCGTCAAGCATGGGCGGGTCCAGAGAAGCTGCGGTGGGTCCGCGCTGGCCTTGGATGCTCACAGGCTGACTGGGCGGAGGCGTCCTCGTTCTGAGCCATTGGAGCGGCCTGCCCACTGCTGGAGAGACCAGAACCCTCCTGGGAGCCACAGTGTCAGCGTTCCTGTGCGTCACCCTTTCACGGTCTGGGTCCCATAGCACCTTCTTGGGCCACCACATTCCTGGGCTCAGCCTCAGGTCTGGCAGCCCCTGCCTGGTCAGCATTCAGTGTGGGTGGCCAAGAGCCCTGTGGACCAATCTGAGTCCCTTTGGTGGGCCTCGTACCAAGTCATGATTTGGGAAGAACGGTCAGGGGGCCTGGAAGTTCCCTGCTTTCTCAACAGTTGAGGCAGTATTGCTCACTCACTGTGGCTTTCATGATGCAGAGCCTCCCGCTTCGCCCCCGCCTTCCTGCCCTCACCCCGAGGGGACTGCTGTCAACAGCCAGGGGCATATGTGAGCGCATGTGAGTGTGTGTGTACACACACACACACACACACACACACACACACACACACTATGTATAGGTCATGCCATAGGTATTTTGTTTTTCAACTTGCTTTGTTCCCTTACCATATCCCTTTTTAAAGTCCTGTCTACATATGTACTTATTTTTATGGCTCATGTATGATTTCTTATTCTATTTCCTCACTTAAAATATCTTCACCACTGTCATAATTACTACTCTAATAGCCACATAATTTCCTTCCTTTTGCTGTGTACTATACTTCACCGAATGCTATATACCATGAAACTCCTTGTTTATGTGTATCTTGTTGCTTCTGTGGAATTGTTTTCTTAGAATTCATTCCTAGGGTCCACACTGTTGGGTTAAAGAGTGTAAATATTTCTGTTATTCTATATATTTATTTCCTAAAAGGCAGTATCAATTTACTAGGCCATGAAGAATGCTTTTTTTTTCCCTTGGACTGCCATCTAAATACTGTTGGAGAGAAGGGGTGTGGAGAAGAGTGAGGAAAAAGGAGCTGTTAGCAATGACTTAGAAACGTGATGGGCTCTCTTTGTCTTCTCAGCACGACCAGCTCCACAGCCAGCAGCTGCGATACGGAGTTCACTAAGGAAGACGAGCAGAGGCTGAAGGATTACATCCAGCAGCTGAAGAACGACAGGGCCGCGGTCAAGCTGACCATGCTAGAGCTGGAAAGCATCCACATCGACCCTCTCAGCTATGACGTCAAGCCCCGGGGAGACAGCCAGCGACTGGACCTCGAAAACGCTGTGCTGATGCAGGAGCTGATGGCCATGAAGGTATCCCTGTGGGTGGGGCCTGGTCCAGAGCCCTGTTCCCATTCACTCCACTCTCATCGGGAGGAGAATTAAAAGGCCCCTGAGAACAGGTCAGCCAAGAAGCCAACCCAACTCGTGCTCAGTCACCTCTCTCCGGAGGAAAGCCAGAGCCTCATTTGTAGACAAGGACAGTTCCCATATGTCAGGGGTCACTTGGGCTGGACGTGTTCCTGGAGGGGTGAGCTGAGCTCTGGGGAACGCCCGAGGTGCCCAGTTTTGGGGCACCTCGTTCTCCAGGAGACGCCACCTCAGACATCTGCAGGCTGCAGCGGCCTCCATCCACTGAAAAGGACCCCAGTTCCCAGAAGCTTATGGGTGCTTCTCGGTTGGATTCTGATGTCAACATGAGGCCAGGGAGAGCAGGGTGAGGCCAAGTGCAGGATTTGGATGAGAGCCTGGTTTCCTGACACCCTGGTCCCCTCGGTGCCGTGGGGACCCCTCTCAGATCACCGTGCCCTCTGGTGAGGTTTACTAGAGCTGTTCAGGTTAGTGCTTCCTGGTAAGCTCTGGGGCTGAGTCATCTGCTGGCATCTCTAGAGCAGGGGGTGCCTTCTTGGAAGGCTGGTACCTCCCACGGGGAAGTGGTTAAACTGCCACCTTCAGCAGGACACACTTTGCTCATTTCTGGCCGGGATACCAAGCACTAGGCCTTCGCCTGCTCCGGGCTTTCTCCGAAGGCAGCTAGGGTGTGATGAGGAGTATATCTGGTATTTGTTCCCAGTTGCTGGCGCAAAACTTCAAAAGCCCTTAAAACTTCCTGAGTGACAGCAGAGTCTTGGTTATGCTAATGAGGTAACTTGGTGGCCCCCAGATAGCTTTAGGGTGGGGGTTGGTCACCCTAAGGACCAAGCAAGCATGTGATTAGAGGGTTGACACTTCGATCCCCTTGACCCTCAGGGAGGGGACGATGGCTGGAGACTGAGTTCCATTGTGCAGCCGGTGATTTAACCGATCATGTCATGACACCCCAATAAAAAACCCTGTACACTGAAGCTCAGGGACGCCTCCTGGTCAACAAGCATGTGGATGTGCCAGTAGAGTGACTCCCCCTGCCTCGGGGACAGGGCAGGGCACCTGCCCTCCAGGCCCACCCTGTGCCCTTTATAATAAAATTGCCATCCCAAGTCCTGCAAGTGGTTCTGGCGCGGTGTGGACCCTGAGGGGGTTTGGGGAACCCTCAACCCATAGGCAGTGGGTAAGACGTACAAGTGCCCTGGGCCCTGCCCACTCTCTGGCCCCCAAGACCTGGGGCTGGCGTCTGCAGGGAGGCGGTCTGCGGGGGCCTGTGCGCTGAACCTGTGGGATCCCAGAGACTCTGGGACGTTCACGGCAGAGTTGCATTGTACACACGCAGCTGGAGGGGAAATAGGGTAACCGCCCACCAGGAGCATGGCCCTGGGACCCCGGCCTGCTCTCAGCTGACCCATGGCAGACGTGGGCGCTTACAGGTCCCCTCCTGCAGGTCCCCGGCCTGTGCCAGGCCCACTGACGTGGGGGTCAGGCCAGGAGCCATGCTCCCAAACCTGCTACCCAGGCTCCCCGGCTCTCAGGAGTTGAGACCCGAGGGAGGGGCTCTCGGGCTGAAGCTGGGTCGCCGTCAGTTGGAAAACCTGAGGCAGGTTCGTCAGGCCAAGGCAGGTCTCAGTGGTGCTCAGTTTGCAACGGGTCTCTCCTGTTGGGACCAGCACTGTCCTCAGGAAGAGCAGGCCCACCTCTGGTTACCTACCCTCGTGGAGGGAAGAAGAGCTGCCAGCAGCGGTCACACCTGACACGCTCAGGGTGACTTGCTCAGCAAGCACATCCCTGCCCTCGGTGGTGCTCAAGCGTGCGTCTCAGTTAAGCCTGGAAAGACTGGGCAGCGGCAACACCTCCAGGACGTGCCCCTGTGTTTCCAACCTGGTGCATCTCGGTCCCGTCCACTCAGCTCAGACCTGCCTTCTGCCCCCCAGGGAACCTCACACAGTGTTGGCCGATTTCTGCGCCCATTGCCCATGAGCCAGGCGTTGGGTCCATAACCCCAGTGCCCTTTGGCCTAATCAAGAGCCCTCTTTCTGGGCCTTCGCACCATGCGGCATGAGCTGCGAGGCTGCCCTTCCATTGTTCATTCCAGACCGTGTTGTCTTTGGCCAAAGACTAAGAATTCCTTTTTATGTTCAAGCCAATATGTTGTGTGATAAATTCAGTGTTGTTCTGGCCAGGAAAGACATTTGTTGGTGGAATAAAAGCGCTAGTACTTACTTTTCTACATGAAAATAAAATGTGTACACATCAGAGAAATTTTCTAAAAGAGTAGAAATTATTAAAACCTTGGAGGGAAAGAACTCATGCCGTGATCCGGGGCAGCCGTGGCTTGCTGGCGTTCTGGCTCAACGCCCTGGTTCAGAGGGCAAACACCCCAGTCCTCTCCCCACCCTGGGTGTTCCCAGCGGTGTGTTCAAGGATCCGTGCTCCCCCATAGCAGATACATAAGCGGATGTTGACAGTGGATTTCACCATTTTGTTCTAGACTATAGCTGCTGAGAAACAAGTTTTCTGGGGTGTTTTGGGGTTTTTTTTTCCCACTTCTTGTATATGATCGCACCTTTTCATTTCTAGTATTGACTTGATGCCTTTTCAAATCCATTCTTCTTTCTGAAACATCCTATCCTTTCATTACAACTCCTCTTCCTTTATGTCTTTAAGTATTTTCTAGTTTTTCACTTGTTATCTCTGGTTCTTGTAAATGCTGGTTCTGCCTCAACGTGACTCATTTCTGTTTTCCCGCTGCGTTTGGGGGAGAGTGTCCTTAGCGGCTCGTCTTCAGTGCAGCCGCCGCCTTCCGCGGGCGCTGCGGGTCCTGGCGGCAGTGCCCCCACCTGGTGGCTCTGTGCTTAGATTTGTTGGGACCCAAGTGGTTTGAGAGGTTTAGGGTTAATTTTTGTTACATTTTTGGCTTCAGATTCGTGTTCCACATCTACACATGACACAAGTTTGTGGTTCTGATTCAAGAGGCTTTTCTTCCCTTTCCCACCCAGAGCCAGAGCGATGACAAGTTTCCTTGCCACGTCTCTAGAAAGGAACTCCCCTCGCCTCCTATTCTCAGCAGCACGTTGGGAGTCCAGGCCCGTGCTGGCCCCGTTCCGGCTCTCTGCCCGGCCCTACCCTGGCGTAGGTGCTAAAAGCCCAGGCGCTGGGGCCTCCCCCGGGCCTGTGCCGCGGCCCCCGCCCCTTCCCCTTGGTGCTGTTCCCTCTTTGCTTTCTGGCGCCCACCTTTCCTTCTTTCAGGCTTGCCTTTATGTGTTTGTTCTGGACGGGACTGCCCACATTAACTCAGTATGCAGTGTTTCCAGAACCTTCAGAATCCTGCTTCTTTTGGCAAAAGATGAGAAGGGTTCCGTGTGTGGAAACCTTTTCATTCTGGTTTTATGTCTCATCTTTAGAAAAGGTTTGGCATCTTCTTCTGAGTAGTCACTGAGCACGTTGCCCTGTCCATGTCTGATGCCCCCCAGGTCTGAGCATTACAAGCCATAACAGGTGCCCTCTAGGTGCCTCCCTCGCACTGAGGGCAAGAACCTCCACCCCCGGGGCTGGGTTGCCCAGGGTAGCCCGCCGGCCCTGGGGCTTTTACCTCATATGAGGGTGACGGGGCAGGGGGTGGGGGGGTGACTAGCATCGGTGGCCGTGCCGAATCCTGCGCAGGGCAGCACCTCAGCGTTATGAAGATGCCTCGTAAGTGAGATTGTAGAAATGGCTAGGGAGACTGAGCTGCGGGTCAGGTGGGGGGGTTCCCCCTCCAGCAGAAGCAGGGGGACGAGCGTCATGCATGGCTCACATTAAAATGGGTTGTGGGGGGTGTATAGCTTAGTGGCTGAGAGCTTGGGTTCTGAGCCAGGTGGCTTGGGTTCAAACCCTGGCTCCACAGTTCACGCAGTAATTGGGAGCAGATGGACTTTTCCCCCTGCCTCTTTCTTCCATCCATAAACGGAGAAGCCCGTAATACCTGCCTGAGGTGGGGCAGATTACATGACTGACTTTGTATGAACATACCGGTGGCTGTGTTGTTACCGGGCTCCTGGTCCCAGCGTGGCGCTGTCTGATTTTGGAGTCACTATATAGACTCCACAAAAAACTCTAATCTTAATTCTCTAAGATACTCTCAGACGTTGCTCACCAGTAAGTCACCTGTAAAGGAATCTGTTTCTATTGATTTCATTTGGGCCCTGAAAGCAGACAGAAGCTGGGGCGTGATATTGTTGCTGTGGGTATTCCCTTCCTGTCGGACTCCGGCACCGAGCTCCGAGGGTGCCATCAGGGCAACTAGACATGTCTGTTGGTGCCGTGGAAAACAGAGAAGGAATTGGAAGGGACCTGGTCAGACCCACCGTTGGGGGGGTGACCCTCCTTCGTCACCTCTTTGATGGATGAAGCTCAGCCTCTGCGTATGGGAAATTGGTGTCGAACCGTGCAGTTGTGCCCTTTGTGGGGGGCGGCAGGGGATCTCAGTTGTTAGAAAGTTTTTCCTTACAATAAACCGGAATCTGCTTGCCTGTATCTTCTACACATTAGTCGCAGTTCTGGTCCATAGAGTGACACAGCACAGGGCTTTGTCCCCACATCAGTCCTTCACATGTGCAGAGACAGCTGTCAGTTCCCCTCCCTCCATCTCACCCCCAGCTGTAAGGGGATGGCTCTGCGGCGGTCTGTGGTTGCAGCCGCAGACTCCTTCTACTCGCCTGCCTTCCCACGCCCAGCCAGGCTCTTACATGTTGAGCCTCATATGCTCTGTCTCCATAGGAGGAGATGGCTGAGCTGAAGGCCCAGCTCTACCTGCTGGAGAAGGAGAAGAAGGCTCTGGAGCTAAAGCTGAGCACCCGGGAGGCCCAGGAACAAGCCTACCTGGTGCACATCGAGCACCTGAAGTCCGAGGTGGAGGAGCACAAGGAGCAGCGCATGAGGTCCCTCAGCTCCACCAGCAGCGGCGGCAAAGACAAGTCCGGCAAGGTAGGGCCAAAGGGGTTCGGGGCACCCAGGCCTCCGGCCTCACTGCTTGCCCCATGCCCACCACTCACTGCCCTGTGCCTCACCTCCCTTATTTGCATGGGAAAGGTACACCACTCTGCTTATCTAAAAGAAGCAGAGTATAAAGAAACCACACCTACATTTGGGTATAAAGAAACCACACCTACATTTACAAACTCTCATTCTGTGTCATGGTGAAATCATTTTCACAGATTGTAGTCTTACCAGGCGCGTGATCTGTGCAGTGGTCCAAAGGTCTGATGCCGGTTTCACCTGCTGTGTCTGTCCCAGTTCACACAGTGGCCATCATTTGTGGATCACGTCTGTACCAATCACACAGAACCCCAAGGCAGGCATCGTTATCCCATTTACTTGAGGAAAACAAGGCTCAGAAGAAGTGAAGGGTCTCAGAGCTACTCAATAGCAGAATCAGGACCTAACCCCAGTTTGGTTAACAGGCCCTCCTCCCCTTGTTCTGTTGCCTCCTCGACTTCATTTGGCATTTCTGCTGTCAGCGAGGCAGAGCAGGAAGCCGCCCGCAGCAGAGGAAGAGGAAGGCAGGCCCTGGATTTCACAGCAGATGTCACAGAGAGCGGGCCGTCCGGTGATGGCATCTTGCAAACGCGCCCTCCCCGTAGCCCACAAGTCATTTTTTCCTAGAGCCCAAGCTTATTCCGTCATACTGCATTTCAGATTTCAAATACGGCATCAGAGGAAAGAAAGTTCGTCCTGGAAGAATTACATTTCTTGACCCTGGACACTGGAATTCTGTCCATTGGATTTTCTGTTCCCAATAAATACCAGCTTCCCCTGATCCCAATTTGTTTCAGCCCCGAGCCTTGTGGGCACACTCTGACCCGCTGGTCTAACGGGCGGCTCCTCACAGCCCGAATGCGGGGGTGTCTCCAGGAGAGTCATGCCCATGGGAAAGAAGCCACTTGTGGATGTCGTGTGGCAGCGAACCGTCACCTCCTAAACAGCTAAGAGCTTGGAAACATGCCTTCCAAAGGGCCACAGGTGCACCCAGCCCACCTCTCACCTGCTGAGGAGCCCAGGGCATCCATAACGTGGCGCCCCGCTGGGCCAGCTCTCCCGAGACCCCAGCTCCTTCTCAGTCAGCCATCCATTCATTTGTTGAATGTGACTTGGTCCTGGTGAGGCTCTGAGGGCAATCCCAGATTTGCACTCCAGTGAGGGACACAGATGAGCGAATAGAGGGTCCTAACACAGTGACACAATGTCCTGAGTGAGGGTGAGGAGGGATCCCAAGTATGGCAGGAGGCCACAGGCCAGACACAGAGTCCAGGTTTGGGGATTCGGGCCAGGTTTCCGGAGCTGAGACCCAGCGGAGAGCGCGAGCTGGCCCGATGAACAGGGCACGGGCAGCGAGGAAAGCCCACTCTAGGCCGACGGAACACCCCGGAGGGGAGAGGAATCGGTGATGCCTTGGCTGGAGAGGTCAGCTGTCTGTGCGCTCCCAAGGACAGCGAGGAATGGCAGGAGCGGGTGATGTGGCACGTTTTGGGCTTTGGAAAGGTCGGTGTGCCAGTGCTCCAGGAAACCGTCCGCCCCATTTGGGCAGGGCGTGCACAGTGCTGCTTCCTGTGGCGCTACCGGGGCTCAGGGAGGCGGGGTGTTCCGTTCTGTGCCTGCACCTTTAAAATCTTTGTACAGCCTCCTGAGCGTGTGAGCGGTCACTTGGGGACAGAACCTGGGAGACAGAGTACCCGTGTGTGTGCGTGCGCACGCTCCCAGGGCGCGGTGGGAGTGGACTCCCAGGCTTCTTACATTTGAGTAAGGAGCATTATATAGAAGTACCTTGGGTTGTTCAGGTAATGAAATTAGGGTAAGCTGATTTTCTTGTCTTTCAAATATTGGAACCATTTACTATTTCAATAAAATCTCCCTCTGAGCTATTCATTTCTCTTATTTGTTGGTAGATGAAGCGAACTGTCCAGAGCCAGGGCTCGAAAACAGTAAAGTGCCACAGAGTCCGTATTTTGGGGTGTTCAGGTCACACGGACTCAGCGGCGGCTTGACCGGCTGATGTGGAACCGGTGTGAGAGCGGAGAGGGCGTGGCCGCGGACGGGCTTGGCGGCACTCTAGTGACACTTTGTGTACAGACGCCGAAGCTTGAATTTCATATAATTTCTACACATCACAAAATATTCTTTATATATTTTTTCCATGATTTTGAAAACAGGAAAACAATTCTTAGCCTGTGGGCCTTATAAAAACAGTAGACAGGCCAGATTTGGGTCTAGAACATCCCCTTGGCTCTGGAGGGTGGGTGTCCTGCTTGTTTTCAAACCTCTCTCCAGCCAAAAAGCTGGAATGCAGATCTCATCCAAGTTGCATTAGGGTTTTGCTCTTGTCTCTATGCAAAAGATATAACTGAACGTGTTCGGTGAGAGGCACAGGGTGAGCCAAAGCTGCCCTTGTCTCTAAGGAGTCTTAGGAAAGGTTCTCGCCCCGGGGGAGTTGATGTACCAAAGGGGAGGCTGTTGGAATCTAGCAGCCTCCATGGGCTGGAGGGCGGGGGCCGGGTCCCGGGTCCCGGTCTGCAGGACAGCAGGTGGGGCGGCGGGGAGAGGGAGAGCCAGAGCCGTGTGGGCTGAGGGCGCTGCTGAGGGAACGTGTTCAGAGGAGGGCCGTGCAGCTGCGGGGAACCCCCTGGTGTGGTGGCGTCCCGGTATCAGTGGGCTGCGGGAGCCACAGTGCCCTCCTGTTTGGACTTGTAGCGCTAAATTCATACTTCTGTGAAGCTCTCATCTCATCGATGTAACTTTGATTACATTCGGTAAACAAATCCATCAACTGCAACAGTTCACCAGCTTTTTAGTTTGGAGCCTGGGGTGGAGTAGGTGCTCAGTAAATGCCCGTTGAGCAAAAAATCATCAGATGAGCCTCCCCCGGCCACTTTCCTAGGGGGCTGCCCTCCATGTAGAGCGCTCACTCAGGGGTGATCACCGCATGGTGCATATGAGTTCCCGCTCCCATGTTCCCTGTTCTGTAAAAAGAGAGGATTCGGCCTGATGATGTCTGTGTTCCTGTCTCATGTTATAACAAGGTGGGGTGGGGGGCGGCATTTCCATTTTCCTCCTTCTTTCTGAGTTTTCTAGAGATTACACCGCACCCACTAAGGCTCCTAAGTGTAGAGAAGACTGGTTTCCTCCTAAGGAGAAGTAGGGTTAGGGCTGAGGGTCCTCACATGTTTCTCACTTGTCTCCTACGAGTTATGAGAGGCTGACTCAGCGGCAAAGAGCCCTGAACTACGGTGAGGCAACCCAGGTTTGATGCTCATGCTCATTCCGCCTTGTCCTGGCAGGCGACTTGAGGCAACGTAACTTCTGTCCCTTAGTTTTCTCCTTGGCCTGGTAGGGATCATGGCAGGAGCTGCCTCAGACTATCGTCACAATGATTAAATGTGAGGACGTGTGCGACCACTCAGACCAGTGCCTGGCTCCCAGGGAGCATGCAGAGCATGGTTGTCGCCCACCGCCCAGCCCGTGAGGGCTGGACACCTAGGACAGGGCTGCAGCGTCACCTCCCTGTGACTCCAGGCCTAACCTACCTGTGTCTGCCGTTCTCAGGACTGCGCTGATGCCGCCTCCCCAGCTCTGTCCCTGGCTGAACTGAGGACCACGTACAGCGACAGCGAGCTGGCTGCAGAGTTCGCCAATGCCATTCGTCGGTAAGCACCCCGCGTGTGACCCTGGCAAGTGGTTTGTTCTGGGAGCGACAGCTTTATTCGGAGTTCTCTTGGCCGCGCTGGCTGGCGCTCCTGGGTCTTTCAGGCCTGCCCAGGGAGGAGCTTCAGCTGTGTCCTCTGTGTTTGGCGTGCGTGTTGAGTTTTCATTTTGGTGATGAATCTCTCATCTCTTTAAGGATAGGTCCTACTTTTGTCCAGCCCTGGCTGGCCAGACGTGGAGAGGTCCTGTTGGTGCCAGACCTTCCAGAGGGCGAGTGATGGGAGAGCAGAGAGGTGGTCATTTCACCTGCAAATAGAAAACATCCCTTTCTTTGCATTTTTGTTGTGTTGCATTGGCCGGAACCTTCAGGACAGTGTTGCGTGGTGACAATCAAACCAGGCATCTTTACCTTGTTTCCAGCATCAGTGGGAACCTTTCTGTTGGCATCGCCAGCTCTTCCCAGTCAGAAAACCTCATGTATGCCTTCAGTTCTGGGCGTTTTCCTCTATTGTTCGTGTTTCTTCCCCTCTCCTCTTTCTCTCCTGCACAGAGAAACAGATGCTGATTCACCTGGATCTGCTTCCACATCCTCACCTGCCTTACTTTTTTGCCATCTGCCTAGAGGAGTGCTGCCCAGTAGAAATGTAATGCGATCCATGCGCGTAATTTTGGACTTTTAGCAGGCAGATTAAGAAGTTGAAAGAAGGTGAAATCCACATTAATAACATGTTTTATATACCCAATGTATCCAAAATATTATTTCAACATCTAATCAATATTTTTAAAAGATATATTAACGAGATTAGTAGCAGCAGCAGCAGCAATCAATACCAAGTTTTCAAAATCTGGGACATATTTTACACTTACTTCACATCTCAAATTCAAACCAGCCAACATTTCGGGAGCTCATATGCCTATGGCTGCCCTATAGGAAAGGGCAGTTCTAAGAGGTTCTTTAGCTCAGTTGTCCAGCTCACTAATTCATTTATCTTTTTTAATCCTCACCTGAGAATATGTTCATTGATTTTTTTTTTTAAAGGAAAGGAGAGAGAGAAAGAAATAAACATCAATATGAGAGAGAAACATTGATCAGTTGCCTCCCCTAAGCACCTCAGCCTGGAATCAAACCTGCAACCTAGGTGTGTGCTCTGACCAGGAGTGGAACCTTCAGCTCTTTGGTGTATGGATGATGCTCCAACCAACTGAGCCACCCAGCCAAGGCGCTCATTTCTTCTTTAGATGTGTCCGTTGTGGTGTTTGGCTTATAGCTGAGTTTTTTATTTTGGTAATTAAATCTATCATCTCTTTTGCGATATGATATCCTCTTACTCTCTCTGAAGATATTTATTATACTGATTCTAAAATGGTACTTTGTCTGCCATATTGACTCTGTGTCCTCACATCAAATTCTTTTTAGAATTGAGTTTTAGGACTCTTTCTTTTGTGGCTTACATGCCCCACTTTTGGGCCGGCGCTTCGTGCCGGCGCACAGCAGCCCTGCAGGCTGCATACCTCTGACGCCCCAGTGTCCGAGCCCGCCCGCCCCTGCCCCGAGCCCCTCTGCGGGCCCATCCTCATTCCGGAGCAACACTCTCCTGTTTGCCTTCTGACTTGTGGTTTCCTTTCTCGGGGAGAATAAAGCTCTTGGCCTTTTCTATGAGCGCTCATCATTTCTGGTCTACAGGGAACACTCCGTGCTCTCTGACATGTTCAGGGGTTTTTCAGAAACACATTTCCCACCCTGACGTGGTGGTTCGGTTGGTTGGAGTGTCATCCTATACGCCAAAAGGCTGTGGGTTTGATCCCCACTCAGGGCCCACACCCCGGTTGCCGGCTCAGTCCCCAGTCACTCCCAGGCGTGAATGGGAGGCAACCCATCTGTTTCTCTCACATCAAGGTCTTCATCTCTCTCTCTCTGTCTCGCCACCCCCCAATTCCTCTCTCTCAAATCAGTAAACATATACCCTCAGGTGAGGATTAAAAGCACACATTTCCCAACATCCCTGGGGTTTGGGGTGTGAGGGGAAGGCTACAATGCGTGCTCAGTCCGCCCTCCTGGTTGGGGGGCTGTTTAGTTTACAGTGTGGCCTCCAGGCTGACAATGGATGGAAGGCTGCCTCGCAGGAACTTCATTACCCTCCCGACTTACGGTCACTTTTGCTTTTTCCTTCCAACTTGTAACAGCCCTGCTTTTACACTGCCAGCACCTCTGGTCATGTGGTTAAATCATAATTGCTTGGCTTGAGGCAAGAAGAGAGAGGCATCCCAGGAAAATGCCCTCCCCGAATCCTAATGGCCTGGCTGCGCCAGGAGCAGGGCACGCGAGCCCGCTCCCCGCCTCCCGCGGGGGCCGCTGCGATAGCGCGTCCGCACGCTCGGCCCCGGCATTTTTCAGATTCCCCAGACCTCAGAGGCCTTAGCTGGCGCGGGGAGGACGCAGGTTGTGCTGACTCAACACAAAGAGATTTCATTTGCTCTGTCCATCACAATGGATTTCCAATAACCAGCCTTAAGTTGGTTAGCATGGATTTCTAATCAAGAGCCAGATACACGTATCCCAGAAAGAACCCACAGGGCTACAGGAAAAAAGGCAACAGCATAATTATACTGTAACTGTCGCTTAAACCCTGGAATAATCATTTCATGAGGGTATGTAATATAAACACCTGAGGCCTGGGAATGTGTTTGTTTTTAAAAACCAAGTGGAAACTAACACCTTCTTTGAAGATATTAAATCACCACTGAACTGGTGGCTGAAGTCAGTTGAGGGACATTACCCAGCATGTTCAGAACTATTTCTCCCTTTAAAAAAGGAATCTGTAGGCGCAGGCATCCAGATTCAAGGCAGCAGGTACAGAGCCGGGAGGGGAAGGGGCCAAACCATGGTCTTTTCTTGAAGAGGAGCAGCCAGCCCGAAGGAGGGAGCCTGACGACCCTCTAGGCCCTGGCTCGAGGGTCCCGCCCTGCCCCAGCCTCTCCGGGCGCGGGCGCGGTCAGCCCTCGCACCCCACCCTGCTCTAGCCTTGTGTCTTCTCCCAGCTCCCCTCTGTTTGGAACCCGGCCAGGACTGCGGCAACCACACATTTACCACCCACCTCCCATCTGCGCTAATTTCAGTCCCTCCACTTCCACCAGCGTTTATTGTGGTTTATTGGCTCCAGTGTTGCCATCAAACCCCATCTGGAAGACCCAGTTTCCAGTCTTGCACACGAAGCTTTCCTTTCCAGAGGGCCTTGTTTTGCCTCTTGTCCCCCAGGCTGCGTGCTACAGAACCCTTCCTTCTTCATCTCAGGCCGTCTCTTGCTCTGGGTCCTGACAAAATTTAACTGAATGATCTTTATACCAAAGAAGTGAACTGTAACTGTGCAGTTGAAGAGAGGGAATTTTCAGAAACGACTCTTCTTTGTATTTAGACGCGTGTGTGTGCAGCGTGCCCTGGGGACCTGAGCTCAGCTGAGGGGGTGGACTGTTTCATTTCTGTTGTCTTCTTGGGTCGGGGAGGGGGGTCTCCACATGAAGGGGCGGGAATGGCCCGGCAAGGCAGAGTGGTTTCCCAGGGTCAGAGAGCAAGCCAGTGAGGGATCGGGGGCTTCCACCTTCTCTGCCGGGCCCCACGTGAAGCCGGAGTCTTGCTTACGGGCGGGTGTCAGCCGAACCAGCCCATGGGGGCTCGCCTGAACGCTGTACCCGCCATGGTGAGCAGGGTCGGGGCACAGGGAGCCTCTCTGTTCCTGGTCCCTGACCAGGCATCCATTCCCCAACTGCTTGGGGCAAATGAGGTGCTGGGGGGCGGACAGACTTCCTCAGTTGCACGGACCCCAGGTTATATTGGTGAAAGGTAAGGATGCTCTGCTTCTCAGTGCCAGGCGACAGGGAATAGTCAGGATGAGTCTATATCCACCTGTCTTTGGGCTCCCCGGCAGGGCAGGACCCCGTTCAGGGGGAGATCGGACCTGGCTCCAGCTCTCACACAGCCACCTGCAAGGCCAGGCACCTGCTGCTGCAGGAGGCTGTGGTCACCTGGGATCTGTCCCCTGTCTGCACGTCCGCCAGACAGCCCTGTAAGATGCTGAGGACAGGCAGTCAATGAATCAGAACAGCGGCTCTTCAGGAGCAGCTGTGCCCAACCCACCGAGCAGAGGAGTGGTGTGTGGACCTCCTTTCCTCTCTCCAATGAGTGACAGGCAAGGCCCTGCTGCTGAGAGAAGCCTGCGTGTCAGATTCCCACGAGGAGACATCGGGGCTGACGGGCCCTGGCCAGTTAGTGTGGTCACAGGCGACCAGACCGGGAGCAGAGCGGCCCCACACAGGAAGGCGTGTGAGGCCACATCCCAGGGTCCAAGGAGGTGGCATGGGAATCCCCTGGGGGCCTGCACCCCTGTGTAATCACAAGTGACTGGAGGAACTCCAGATGGCAGAGCTTGACAGGTCCGCCAGCTCAGGTGACACAAAAGGCAATGAAAGAAAGCGTTTCAAAGCGAGGACACCAGCCACTTCCACTAGAGCGGGCTGAGGGGAGAGACAAGGATCGGGGGCCGCCGGTGGGGCAGACGTTGCTGTGCAGAGAGGACAGCCATCAGGGAACTCTTCCTCAGGATGGACACCCCAGAGCACCTCTGTGTGCTCCCGATAATGACCCAGGACAAGGGGGGGGATTTTCCAAGGTCACAAAGTAAGTTTGTAAGATGCCAATCAGATGGTTACCCCCGCGCCAGTGTTCTGCTGCTGCGTGGCGAAGTAACAAACTCTTAGTGGCTTAAAACAATGTCCGTTTATTAGCTCCTGGTTTCCATGGGTCAGGAATCTAGGCGCGGTGTGGCCGGCTCCTCTAGTCAGGGTCTTGCAGGGCTGCGATGGAGGCGCCGTCTGGGGCCACGCGCCCCTTGGGCGGCTCCCAGGAAGAGCCTGCTTCCGAGCTTGCCCTGCACGGGGGCAGGACTCGGTTTCTTGTGGTCATAGGGCTGGGGCCCGTTTTCTGTCTTGCCAGCTGTGAGCCCACAGG